ACCGCCACTTCTAATGCCCACTCTTCTGTTCCTCTTATCATTTGGACAGCGTTTTCGGTTCCCCTCCCCTTTCCCCACCCCTCGCCCCAATCTACGTCTATCCTAGTACCACGTGTATCGAGCCCCTGCCAAGTCCCAACGCATTGTCTACCATAGACTCTACCACATTTTACCACCCGTAAAAAAATTTATCAAAGGTTAAAACTGAACAATATACCAATGGTTTTAATTATAAACAACGACACCCTCCCCCAACCATTGAAACCCTCCCTGCAGTTCTTAAAAAACGACCACCTGCTTACCTCTACAATACAGACAACCCCAAGAATCTCTGTACCTCGTGGAATTGCCTCGCAGCAGTACAACAAAGACTTGATTGTGCTCCGTCATTACGTTCCGCTTTGTTTTGCGATAGTCTTTCATTCGGTGGCAACCGTGCAGGTTATAAGCAACTAAAATCAAAGGCCAAGTTTTTGCCCATGAGCATAAAACTAATTACAGTCGAGCTACTCTAACAGTCAGCTGTATGAGAAAATCTCTAGTACAAAAGGCTACTTCTCATTGACCCCTTTGCAGGTTTATTTTTTATACATTAAAATGACACAATAGAAGACGCCTACCTGTACAAGACGACCAGTTCCCCCTCAGCTATGGGTAGCCGTTTAAGAGAATTTGGACGGTATTTCTCTGTTGGAACAATGTCATAATGATTCGCCTTGGCCCAACTCGTTGCGTCTGTGGTGTAGCGGTAAGGCACTTCGCCGCCCCACTAAGTCAGAAGACCTGAGCTCGATTCAAGTGTAAGGTTATATTTGGACTGAGTATCTCGTTGTATCCCTTTAAGCCTGGGTTGACCCTGACAAACGGTGTCGTAGCCCACCTCCTAGCTGATCTAAATTGTGCAGATGTTGACATTTTAAAAAAAACTAACATTAATCTATGCAACAACTTTTACCTGACAGTGACTGTAATCAGTAAAGTAAACCTAAGATATATTGTGACATTTTCCTTGCAGCAGTCATGAACCAGGTAGGAATGTTGTATGCATTTCAAGGGCCCATTCTACTTTCAACAGGAAGAATGGAATGCAGAGGGTTTAGGGACCTTGAAAGAGGTATAGGCTTTAGATTTTCTCTATATTATACTAGTATACAGTAGGGTGCGTGGCGGGGTAGTTAGCACGCTCATCTCCGAAGCGGAAAGTGTGGGTTCGAGCCTCGGTTCGGACACGGATTTTTTTCGCCCCTCCAGCCCACCCAGCAGTATTGGGTACCTGACTTCGAGTTGGGGAAGTAAAGGCGGCGTGGAAAGGAACTGGTCACCCTATCACAATAAGCCGAAGGCCCAGGAAGTTGTCTCAATAACTTGGCAATCCCCAATGTCCGGATCGGATGCGGGAACAACTTTACAATTTTACTAATATACAAGTAGGGACAGATTCAAGTTTATTAAATAAAGAGCCTTTATCGCATGAGCACACGACAATACCCACAATAAGAGGGCTTACCAGCGTTTTGATTCAATACAAAGTTGCTCTCTGACATCCCCCCCCCCTCCCTCCAAACCCCCAACCCGTCCTGGGCTCCAGTGGCTTAGTGAGTTGTGAGTTCAGACTCAGAAACTCAGAAGTAATGTTAAGCAAGTGTCAGTGACACGGAGGATCAGATGGGTGGTCACTGGGGTGTGTCTTTGAGCCAGACACGATTACCCCCCCCCCCCACACACACACCCAACAGGGCACTGTACAGTAACGACCAGCAATGGCATATTTGTGAAATTTTCTGTCTTCGTGTGATTTTGTGTATTTATTTCTGTAGTCATGAATGTATTTAATGAATTTGATAATATAATGTAGATCTATGTTTGCATTTATGTTTATGATTTGCCATTGTAAAACAAATTTCGCCTCGGGGATTAATACAATGTAATCTATTTTTGCTTATTTATTTCATTTATAATTTATTTACTTGTTTATTTATCTATTCATCTATCTCTCTCTCTCTCTATCTATCTATCTATCTATCTATCTATCTATCTATCTATCTATCTATCTATCTGTCTAAACTGGTAAATTTGACGAGCAGTAACAGGTATTTTTGCAGTTGCTTGATTCCTTAAAAAATGCAACTTACACCAAGCCTGGGGTGTTATGGGAGGGCAAAGATCACAAGTGTCCTGTCCGTGCTTCGTGAAGAGGACGAGGTGGAGCAAAAAAAGGAGGGGTGTAAAGAGGGTAGGAGGAGGAGGGAGGAAGGAAAAAGTGGTTGAAGGCGAGGCGGAACAGCGGAACAGTGAGAGAATCATAATGTGGCAAAAGAATGGAGGTTGGGTTTTTTTTAACGAGAAGGAGTTGGGGGGGGACCATAAAGCCACACCCCCTCCTCTCATTATGTTAAATGTGTAGATAGATAGATAGATAGATAGATAGATAGATAGATAGATAGATAGATAGATAGATAGATAGCTTATTGTGCCTCTTGCCCATGGGTGTTTTTATTGATTTGATTATGGGTTTTTTAATCTTTGGGCTTTCTTTTTATTCATTTTTTTAGCTGTCTATGTACTGGGCGTTGAGGGGAGAAAGAGCTTCCTGTCTCTAGCAAGTTTCATGGCCTGGGTGGGTGGGATATTGAATGTTCTTAAGGTATCCTTCACACCCTGGACCCAGGTCTTTCTTGGTCTTCCTCTTTCTTTGTACCCTGATACTTTCCTGTTGTAGGCTTTACTGGCAAGCTGGTTAGTTGCCTTATGTGTGAGATGTCCAAACCACCTGCTCGTTTGCCTTCGGATGTAGTGGAGAACAGGTGTTGTTCCCACTATTTTTTTTACCTTGTTATTTGTGACCATATCCCGTCTGGCTTTGCTGACGGCTCTCCTTAGACATCTCATTTTGCAGGTGGTTATCTTACGTTCCAGACTTTTGGTCAGTGTCCATGTCTGGCACTGGTAGGTCAAGGTGGGGATGAAGACAGATTCAATGAGCTTGGCATTGGTCTCAATGGGGATGTTAGGATGTTTGAGGAGTGGGGCAAGCTGGTAGCTGACTTTACTGGTCTACTGGACCAGACCAGTAATTAGAGTTCTCGCCAGTATACCACACAGCAGGTGCTCGCTGTTAATAGTTTTTGTAGTTTAACTATACACGCTTGTGGTTTAACTATGCACACCCACCTCATGCAGCGATCCAACTTGCACTAACAGGTGACAACTCTCTGCGCTGCGCCTCGACTATAACTCACACGGTCTTCCACAGTCCGTGGCTCACGCCTCAGCCTGCCCTTGTTCTCGTCTTTAATGTCAATAGATACCGTATTCGATTACTTTCCCGAAATCAATCAGCCAACCATACGCCCCCGTGATCTCAAGATCAATCAAAACAAAATAAACAACAACTTCAATTTGCAAACAGGACATGGTTCAACGCTATCTACACTTTGTACACTTGATTACTCCATTTACTGAGTTTCATAATCCACCAACCAACCGGCGGTTTTCCTGACTCGATACGCCTGGGAGGGGGTTCACCTGCACCTTCGTTTCTCGTCAGGGTCTGCAAGGTCTAAGGCTCACTGGCACCTCCCTCATCATCCTATTCCTCTGAAGTTACCTCTCATACCACTCTTCTAACATCGAGAACGTGACGAGCCATACCATCGACGGCAACATTGTTGACCGAGTTTACTTCCGTAACCGTACTTCTACTCCACTTGGTCGTGCTTTTGCTCTGGGGTGGTTTAAACCAAACATTATCTCCAACTTGAAATCTTCCTTGCCAGTCTTGAATTTCTTCTTCCTTGACAACGATCTGGTTTCTCCAATCATAACGGTAGACAGCTCTCTGTGGCACTGTTGCTGGGTCCAAACCTGCTCTTGGTGTTGAGTTGTACCAAAATACAGCTTCTTGTGGGGAAATGTTTCCTCTTTTTGCATGGACTTCACTGTACGGTGGTGTCTCTCAACAATCACGTTCCCCGTAGGCCTATATGCAGCTCTGAACAATGGTTTGATATTTCATTTCTGAAGCATGTGCCAAAAACAATATGAGTGGAACACTGTGCCATTATCCATTAAGATCTCGCGCACTGGTCATCTCTCAAACATGAGTTCTTCAACTACATCAACCACGAGCCCTACTGTCTCTCTCTTCAGTTTCTTCCATATTGCGATTCGCCCTGGGCCACAATCAACAATTGACAGATATGGCATTTGATAATGGTGAGTTACGTCTTTTGTCAATCTTGTCTAGTCTGTAGCGACATCTAGGTTGCCCGCCTCATGGACAACTGGTGCAGGATCGATAGACTGACATTGCTCACGAGCTTGTACGACTTTTTTCACAACAGCACGGCTCGTTTCTGGTAACACCTTCCGAGCCAAATACAAAGTACGGTCTACCCCCCTTATGGTGCATATCGTGCAAGCCTTTCAAGTCAAGATGACCGGTAGCACACACGCATGGTTCTGGTTCTCCCTCCTCAAATTCCATACTCGCCAGTGCTTAACCACTCCTTTTTCACTTTTGTCAGAATGTCTGCTTTGTTCTTTCTGGTCGGAACCAAGGTTATCGACATAACCAGACCAAACTCATTAATAAGGCTTTCCAATACCCCTAATCGTTTCTTCAAAATCAACTCCACTGCCCCTTTGGTGCGCACTCTCCTCTCTTCTGATAGAACAGTTTTGATCCAACAAGCCACCGTTG